ATTTTTTTTTTGTGTTTTTTTGGAAAATCTCTAAGAAATATAAATTGAATAAAAAATTTTATTGAAAAAAACCAAAGCCATTTGGTTTACATTGTGTWGTGTGAGTGGTGTGTATGTGTGTGTGGTGTATGTATGTGTGTGTGCTTGTGTGTATAATGTATAACGTCCTGTGTCCAGTTCGTTGGTGTGCGTCTCCAGTTCTTCGAGGCAGGTGCGTGTGTCCGTGTTTGTGTCGGTGTGTGTGTGTGTGAGTGTGTGTGGGTGTAGGCGTGGCGGGTAATAGATCTTTCTTGGGCGGAGACAGGACAGAGCTTTAGTCACCGGACCGTTGATATGGCTGCAAGCAACAATATATAACGTTCATATATATATTGTTGTGTTCTCTTCTTGTACAATATTTACACAAAACAATAAAAACAAACAAAAATGAAAAGAAAAACAATATTTAAAAAAAAAAAATACAAAGAAAATTTCACACTGCCGGAAAACAAAGTAAAACGCAACTATAGCTAAAGTCTTCAATGAAATGCGTAAACGGCAATACTTTTATTCTCAGTTTCTTAGCTGCCCCAACTTCCTCACGCACAACAACAATTTCCTTATATTCAAGTTTCGCTATTTAACTGTTTATGTAGATCTACAATAAGTTCAAGCTGCTTCAGCACAGCCTTGTGCAGGGTCTCGTTAATTGGCTGCAAATATTTCATGAATTTTAAAGACTTTTCTGTCAAATATTAGAAAAAAAAAGAAAAAAAGTTGGGAAAGAACCTCGCTAATGGCTGTAACTGACTGTTCAATACTCGTCTCCCAGCTTAAATATATCACTTTAAGCCCTACTTCCTGCTTCAAGCGGAGTTTACGACCATCCATCGAACCATGGGAATATTTGTGTCCTATGATACAATTACACGCCATGTTAATAGACTTATGATATATATGTATATATGTATATTGTGGCTACATATGATCTATAATGTGAGTGGAGTTCTTCAACAAACCACCTGAAAACTGTTCAATTCACTATAATTATTCTTATATCATTACATTAGCTAGCTATCATTTTAGCTAGATTAATAGATTCTGATATAAGACTAGATCTGCTCAGTGAGCATTGCTATACATGAGCAAGAGATTCCGGGATGAGTTTATACAACTGAAATTTCAAGTTGTCTAACTCAAATAAATACTCAGCTTTGTTTTCATAGATATAAACTGCTACGAATTTTTGTATATGCTCGCTAGAGGCGTGAAAATACGGAAATAGTTTAATCGCTTACAACAAAAGTTGTAAAAGCCCACAAAATTGCCGTGTTTAGCCACGCCTCCAAAAGACTCGTAAACAGCAAATATTCGAGTCTTTGAATTTGAAATTCCATTTCTCTAGCTCTGGCCGGCCACGCAAGGCAGGCACAAAACCAATATGCTCGCTTTGCCATTTAATGAGCGCGTGTAAAAACTAATCGTTAATTTGTTAGTCGCCTTTGTTTTTGTTTCATGTTGCTTTTGGGCAGTCAACGACTTATTTGTTTCTTTTATGTATATACAATATAAATTTGTATATGAATATTTATATGGATACATTTGTGTGTTTCTCAAAATTTTTGTTGTTTCGCCGACTGCTGGGAAGTTAGGGACCTGTTTTCATTCGAAGCGTGTTTAACGGCCCACACATTTTGCATTTGGATTTGCATTAATGAAAACATTCAGCCGCAGACAGAAAAGCAACCAGTTTCGGCCATCCGAATGTGTGTTAAAGTGAAAAACATGCAGCTGCTTGCAGCAGCCAAGCGACAAACAAACCAAGCAACAACAAACACCAAACAGCAAACAACAAACAATGTAAACAACCGAAACAACCGAAACAACAAGCAACAAGTTGTTGCCAAGCCATGCCAAATAATCCAAGACAATCGCACTGCAGCCGCTTGGCCAGGCTTTGGGCTTAAGGGGCTTTTCAAGTTTATGGACATTTGACAGGTTATTTGATTAGATTTGGAATCGATTTTTGTCACTGTTGTTGCTGTTGCTGTTGTTGCTGTTGTTGTTGCGGCAACGACACCCAGCTAAACAGAAAACAAATACATATACATATATATTGTATATAGATGCAGCAAAGTGGATCCGTAACAGGGTCACGTGACAGAAGTCAGCTGTAAATCCATTCAAAATTGTATTCTATTTATAGAATTAACAACAAAATCCAATGATAAGGCAAATATTATCAAATCTTGTTAATCAATTCCACAAAAGCTCTCAAAATAAATTTAATGAAAGTTTATGACCAAGAAACAGATGTGCTAAAGTGAAATCTGAAATCAGTAAAGTTCTATTTGTTTTTTTTTTTTTCGTTTTTTTTTTTTTATTTTATTTTATTTTTTTTTTTTTCTATCTATCGATTCTCCTCGCTCACCTGTCCCACTCACGCAGACTTCCCTCTGTATATATCTCTCTCTTTCTCTCTCTCTCACACACTCTCAATAGACAGTTTCTTTCTTAAAGAAATCAAGATTTTGCAATTCCGGAACTTAAAAACTGAAAGACGCGCATTGCACAAACGCAATATACTCATTTCACTATCGCGAATGAGTATAAAATGGTCAGTTTCGGATTCAGCACTTCAATATGTAGCATTTCGATAGCACGCACTTTGTTAGAGACTTATGAAAATACGACAGCTGTCTAGATTTTGTATCACTTGTCTAGATTTTAGATCATATTTATTACACTCTATACATCTCAATTAAGGTATACGAAAAATTAATGAAGAGGGAAAAAAAAAGCAAGGCGAGATACAATTTCTGAAAAGTAACATAATCTAATCAGTGTAAGGCTCAATGCGAATTGCTATGGGCCAAATTCACTGGAATAGTATGAGCACGTGTTTATTTACAATATTAATGCACTTCAGGTTATATAGCACACTTCCTCGCATATGGTGTAAATCAGCAATTAGGAAGTATCGAAAGGCGATAACAATGCAAAAACAAAACAACAAAAAAACAGAAATTAGAACATTGAATGGTAAACAGAAGAATAACCTAGTAGTAATTACTTTACGATACACCATTCTGCAGAATTATCGATTCATAATAGAGCTGTGATAAAATGTTTATTCGTTTTGAAATGTCGTAAGCAATGGAAGAGATTTCAAATGAGATTACATATTGTTTTTTGCACTACTATGAGAAACTATCGATTGATGATAGCACTACAAACAAACAAAAAATCTACATTAAAATATGAATACTGAAACGTAAGCTAAAGCATAACTCTGGGAAAATATAGATTAGATAGATATTCATATCTAATGAGTTTTCATGTATCCAACACTAATACATTGAGAAACTATCGATAGAAGATATAATTGTCTGACTTGCAGTTAAGGAAGAGACTAGTTTCGAGCAAACAGAGAAGATCTATCAAAGATAGCTGGAGTAGATAAATGGATACAGCCCAAATGTAGACATAATTATATTGATCAATCTGTTTATCGATTTAAAAAATCATTTTGTAAGTAAAAATAAAAATAAAAAAAAGAAACCAACCATAACAAACTAATCTAATCCGAAATCGAAAAATTTGTTGTAGATGACTTCATATATAAACATAGACCTATATATGTATCTGCGTGTGTTTGTTTGTGTAATGATTTTTAGCACTTCACAGCGATAATATTTCAATTTGTGGCTTTTTAATAGTCTATCAATGATGAAATCGATTAACTTTCTTATCGCATACCCGAGCACAAAGGGAACCAAAGAGGCCAATGATAGTATTTTTTTATGTTTTCTATTAATACCAGCCGTTAGGGTTGACAGTCAGGTAATAAGATTATGTTGATTTCAGCAATAATGGCTTCCCAAATTCGCATTGCGCATACGTTCCGTTGTACGTGAAAGACAAGTGAGACGAGCGCAATTTAGCTTAATGAACACAGCCAGAGCCAGGGCAAGAGCCACAGTCAAGTTCAAAGTCAACAGAGAGACAGCGAGACAGGGAGACCGGGAGACAGGGAGACAGACAGGCTGACGAAGCTAATTACTTGAAAAGCTGACTAGCTGCTAAATTGCACTAGAAACTACAAACTAAACCGTAAAATCAGACAAAACGCGGCAGTTGTTTTATTTATTTGCTTTCTGTTGTTGCTCTTCTATTTTCGTAGCTTTAGTTTATTGTCAAATTGATTTCTTCTTTGTGCTTGCCAGCTCAATTGAACTGGCACATCATTTCGATTCAATTCGTTTCAATTCGATTCTATTCGTTTCGATTTTAGATGCGGAACTCTTGCGATGAGTACTACGTAAATTGTATAACCATTGTCCAGGCTCCGAGCCGACCCCTCCGTTTGCTCTCAAAGTGTATTGTATCCAGATGATATATCTATATCAGCTAACTGTAAGCCGAGTACAGACATACCCTCTAACTGAGTATAGCCTCTCAATCTGCTTGTCTATCTCTTCCTCTCATCAAAGCCAGTTGATCACAGTCGTCTGACTCGAGTCGGTGGTCTCTGCTCTGCTGACATTTAGAGGGTATTTTAATGCCTCAGCTGGTTTTTGACTGCTGTCATCAACTGGGAGATAGAACAACTGGATTATATATATAGCTCAGCATGTTTTCAGCTCGATTCGCCGAATCGTCATCACATGCTCAAAGTAACTGCATTTAGATGTATCGCTTAAAAGCAGCCATTCATTTTGGTGTGATGATTTATTGATCATCATCAATT